CCATTTGCAGCCAACAATGTTCTTGTTCATGGGTCGTGGTACGAGCTCAAGAGTTTGGTTGACAGCAAAGGCATCAATTTCACCGGACATTGCCCTTCTCCACTGTTCATCTTTCATCGCTTATGTGATCGTGAGCGGTTCTGTGGGAATACTTGTTGACAGAGCCGCTGATTTCGCGTACTTCGGATTAGGTTTGACGATGTTTGCTTTTCGGCGTGTCTGCATTTCATGATAGTTTGTAGGGTTGGGAATCGCTGGCTGGGGATGAGATGTCGAAGAGGATGTAAGGGATTTTTGATTTCTTTTTCGTGGTCGTGAAGTTGGGAATGTGTTTGTGGGTTCAGTTGGGCTTGGTACATGGGTAAGTCTGTTTTGGGCTTCGGGGTTTTGTAACTGATTTTGGTAATTTTGGTTTGTGGGCTGATGTGGGCTTGGAGCACTGGTAGGAATTACTTGGGCTTATTAGTCTTGTAACTGACTTTGGTTAACGGGGCTTGGTGTTTGGGATTAGGATTGTTCGACATCGTTGTTCGGGAAGGTCGATGAACCAGGCTCAAGCGAAGTTGATTCATCGTGCCTATCATCATGAGGCACTGAGTTAGGGGCCATACCTGCAGAGGTTGTCGTTGTCGGTGGGTGAAGATCAGAGCCCAAGGGTCCCGTTACAGCAGGGCAAGGTGCGAGCGATGATACGAGTGATGATCTCAGCCGAATCGACTCGACAGGAGGGGAAATGTTGATGGATTCGGAGATGGTGGAAGGAGGTGGGGACTGTAGATATCTAACGGGAACACTGATTCATCGAATTTCACATGTCTGGAGACATAGATGCGTCCGGTGCCTTGTGCGAGACATAGATACGCGCTATGTGTTAGCGAGTACCCGAGAAATACACAAGGCATCGATCGATTCTCGAGCTTGTTGTTGTTGTACGGGCGGAGCCACGGAAAACAGAGACATCTGAAGACTTTCAGTTTGGAGTAATTTGGCGATTCTGTGAACAACTTCTGAAACGGGGATTCCATTGCAAGTGTGGGTGTTGGCATGCGATTGATGAGATAAGTGGTGGCAGCGAATGCGTAGCTCCAGTATGTCTTTGGCATCGCGGCATGGGTGAGAAGGGAGAGTCCAGTTTTGACTATGTGTCTGTGCTTCCGTTCTGAGAGACCATTGTGTTCGGGAGTATGAGGTGGAGAGGTGAGATGAGAGATGCCTGCTTCGGAGAGAAATGACCCCACCGTTGTTAGAGAAGAGAGTCTCAATTTTGTGTCTGAACCGGTTTTCAACAAGGGCTTTGAATGGTTTGAAGATGGTAACGACTTGAGATTTTGTTTTGATTGGGTAAGGCCAAGTATAGCGGGTAAAATGGTCTACAAGGATGAGGTAGTATTTATAGTTGTCGCAAGAGAGGGTAGGGGAAGACCATATCGGTTAAAATGTATTCGAGAGGGCGTGAGGAGTGAATTGAGGTTTGATGAAAAGGTAATTTGTGGATTTTATTAACGGAGCAATCAGTACAAAGAGAGTTTGAGGTAGCTGAATGCGAAAAGGAAAGGGAAAACTTTGAAAGAATTGAATTGAGTATTGCTGATGAGGGGTGACCCTACCGATAATGCCATTGAGCTAAGGTGGTGTTTGTGGGAGTGGCTGCGAAGAAGGATGACGCCGGTTCTGCTGAGATCGGCCACTCGTATAGATCGCCTTTAGTCTTGCCTTGGAGCAATGGACACCCGAGTAGAGATCTTTCACCTGTAATAAGGTAGGAAAAAAATCAACCGAGATGAGGTTCTTGTGAAGATGTGGTACACAAAGAACATTATGCAAAGCTATAGTACAGGAGGGTAGAGGTAAAGCATGAGAGCCAGTGTGGGTAATAGCTAAACCTGAACCGTCACCAGTCAAGACTGAATCATCGCATGTGTAAGGCTGATGGAGTGACAGATTATGTAGATCACTGGTCATGTGATGAGTGGCTCCACTGTCCATAAGCCACCCAGAAGCTGGATCCAAGGACCCGAGAGCGAGATTAGCATTGGGCTGCCACAGGCGATACTGCTGACTTGTGTGATTGTTGTTGGTGTTGGTGGACGGAGGTAACTGTGGACATCTCTTGGCGTTGTGGCCATAGGTACCACAGAGTTGGCACTTCCCCTGATATTCTTTTATAATGTGATGGTCCTGTCTCGGATTTTGGTAGTTGCGAAACTGACATTGTTGAGTTTGATGCCAGGGAGTGTTAGAACGCTGTTGATGCTGTTGTTTTCCGTGATACGAGCGTTGACCAGTATTGGCAACATTGGCAGTAACAGGAGTCTCCACGTTTGTAGAGCTTGATGACAGCAATTTGGCTTCTTTGTTGACCAATTTCTCATGGATCTCGGATATAGAAGGAGGTGTGTCTCTGCTTTCTACTTGATCGGCAACAGTTTTATACTCCTCAGGTAGACCTTCTATAATAAACTTAATCTGATCTTCATGATCGATAGGTTTGCCAAGCTATGCTAGTTGATCGAATCGTGTGGTGAGACTAAGGACGTACTCATCAACTGATTTCGTACCTTTTGACCATTGTTTTAGTTGATGTTTGAGTTGTTGAATATGTCCTCTGCTTGGCTTGGCATAGGTTGAAGCCAATGTCTTCCAAATATCATGAGACGTGTGAGCTGTGGAGAGGATCGGTTGAAGGGGAAGGGAGATGGCACCGAGAAGACCACTGTATAGTAGTTTATCCTGGCGTTTCCAGAGTGTGTATGCGGGATTAGGGGAGGGAACACCATTGGTTGTGATTGTCGGCGGTGGAGAGGGAGTGGATCCATCGAGAAATCCAGCAAGCTCATATTCATTAAGCAAGGCATGTACTTGTAGACTCCACATGAGGTAATTGTTTGAGCTTAGCTTTGTGACATTAGACATGTTCATGTTGAGGATTGTTTGTGGTGTAACATCAACAACCTCGTTTTGGGTAGCCATTTGTAGAGAGGAGGAACACGAGGAGGAAAAGAAGGAAGAGAGGGTGGCAGCAGAGAAAATTTTAAGTTACTCACTCTGATACCATATAGAAGATGATTCTCATTATTCTTCAACAATGTACATATAGTTTATATACATATATATTAGAGGGATCTCTAGGTTAACATATTTGCAGCAGATTCCATAGATAGAGTAGCACGATATTTTTGGAGTTAATAATTATCATGTCCTTTACAACGGATTCTTTGTCCATGTTGGTTTATGATTTAGTTATTTCATTCTTCTTAATCTCTAGCTCAATGTTAAATTATGTGTTAGCAATTTGATAATGCGGTTTATGAAAAGTATATCATTTTAGTACTTCTATACATTTTAGAATTTTTTGCCAGAAAACAAGAGTTACAAATGAACATATAAGGGCTATTCAATCAAGATTGCAGATAGGTTTTTTTTAACATTATAACGTTTTATGATTTTCCCATAGAATATCGAAGATAAAACCAAATCTATTATGAATGGTTTGGATTCGGTTTTTATTAAAAGACATCACTAATTTCCATAAAAAATTTGGTTTAAATCAGTTCTTTTTGTTAGATTTGATTTTGGGTTTCGGGTTTTTAGCCCTGTTCGTTTAGGTGACGCTGCGTTTGATGTCGGCGGCTAATAAATCTTCATAATTTCCCTCTCCATTAATACTTGACTGACGCTGCATTAAACAAAATCAAAGAGGTCCGGCGGTGCCGCTGACACAAAAAAATACAGCGGCAGCGACAGATCTTCTCTTTCTCACTCATGCGGCAGATCTCTCTCACTCCTGCGGCAAATAACCTGCAATTACCTTGAAAATTTATGCTGCTGGTAGTTGTCGCAGCGTTTCCCAAACGAACAGGCATTTAATTATAAAAAAAGTTTCACTTAATTAATTCTTTCAATTAAACTTTACATCATATAATATATAAAAGTTAGATGGCATAGTGTTTTGAGGACGTCCACATGAGATTAAAAAACTCAATCTGATTGGTCCATATTAACATATTCATTAAATAAAAAAATATTAAGTATGATTAAGATGGAAAAACTTGATTTAATTGGTCCACATCAGCTTTTAAATAAAAACAAAAATTATTATGTATAATTAAAACATTAAGTTAATTTAACAAATTATGTCCAACAAAAAAAATAAATTTAATTTGATTGATCCAAATCAATATATTTATTATGTCAGAAAATGTTAATATGATTTAAAAATTTAAAAGTTAAATAAAAAATTAACAATTAACAATACATATATAAAAAAGTAATCATTATCAATTATTAATTTTAAAAAAATCTACAACAATTCTATTTAAAAATTAAAACAATGAAAACTGAATAAAAATATAACATAAAACTTTTGGAAGACATGATGGTGAAGGGGAAAATGGTTTTGCATGATCATTACAGCTTCCTAACAAAATTAAATGCGAATCAACATGAATCATAGATTATATATGCAGTGGTACACAACATCAATACGATTTTCAATAAAACAAAAAAACTAATATTTGAACACATAAACCTTCAAGAAAAAAAACTATAAAAATTCTGTGGAAAACAGAAAATAATACCAAAATCTTAGCAAGATTATATTTCTCAAAATCAAATATATATGTACGTCAAAGTTGAATAATTCGATAAATGTCATTGTTATTATTTTACCTCATAGTTTTTTAAAATTTATAAATAAAAATAAGATAAATTACACAATATATATTAAATTCTCTTATATAAATAAAAATTTCTATAAATATATTATATTTTTAATAATTTTAAAGTTAGTAGCTAAAAAATATTAAACCAAAATATTAATACAAATGCGAATTATATACCTAATCTATTATATAAAGATTCAGTTGAGTCTCACAAGGACCTGACACCTCAGCACTCTTCTCTCTGACACATCAGCACAAAAAATTAAATTACATAAAAAATCTTTAAAAAAAAGTTTTATAATAATCAAACCAAAAATTCATCAATGTGGTCAAACTTATGTTTTATTTTATTGTCATCCTAGAATATACCGGCTTACGAAATGGCATACCTTCACTATGGTCTATTTCCAAATAGTTTCTATGGCTCTTTCGATTCTTCTCCTCCAATTCTCCTCTTCCGATTTTGGCTTGAGATCACGATGATTCATGTCACAAATATTTTCTCGAAGCCCTTTTGAGTCGTCATCGTTCATCACAATGTGGAGAATCGTCTCCTCTAATCTCGAAGCCCTAGCCGCCGATGTCTTCACTGCTTCGCCTCGTCAAACTATAGTCGCCACGGCGAGACCCGTTGGCTTCTCTCTCCGCGGATCAATCAGCCATTTCCGCTTCTTCCTTCGTTATCGCTTGCAATTTCTAGCTCGGAATCAGGTTATAAATCATTGCTATAGTTTATTCCTCGCTGTATTATCTTACTTTCTTCCTCGCATACCGTTGCCATAGATTTAGAAAAAAATATAAATCAGTATTGGTCTCGTGAAAATTTGATTGTTCTGTGTTTCCTGCATCTAGCTTGTTTAAGCGAGATAAGGGTTTTTCTGGAATTCTCGGACTTTCTAGATAGGCTTGCGTTTGATCCAAATTGGGATAATTGTTGGGTCTCTCAAGTGTTTTCTTCTCTCTTCCTTTGTTAGTGTAAATATAAATTTATAGGTGTCACTGATGTGAATCTTAGTAAGAGGAGGGATGATGAGTATTGAGTTTAAGGTTATTGAAAGAACCCGAGAGTGACCCTCACTTGTTCTCCTGCACTTTCACAAAAGGTACAGAATATCACATAACCATGCCATTCATCTGAACGTCCCAAATCACAATTGATCCGCATTATTGAAGGGTTTGAAACCGTGCCATTCCGATCAAAGTTTAACACTTGGACTCAAGAAACTAACACAACCGTCTCAGAGGATGGTAGAGACAGAGTTGCTGGTTTGTATATTTGAATACAAAAAGTAGACAATGATGATTTTATACTACTTGACACGCATCTGAAATGTTAATATTTTGTGTGTGGTTTGTTTGATTTGCAGCACTTTTGCAACGACGAGGAGTAAACGTGAGAGGCCTGATGAAAGCTGCAGGTTTGGCGTGTGAATGGTCAGCAAAAGACTCTCCTTCAAGCCGCTGAACATTCGAAATTCTACAGTGGAGATTGCTATGTTTTCCAGTATTCTTATCCCGGAGAATAAAAAGAAGAAGTTCTTATAGGAACGTGGTTTGGCAAGCGAAGCGTGGAGGTAAGCTTTCAAACAAGGATGTGGTTGATTATGTACTTGCAACTGTTGCTGCAATATCTTAAAATTGTCTGTTATATAGGAAAGAAAAAGCTTCTGCAGTTTCAATGGCGAGCAAAATGTTTGAGTCAATGAAATTTGTACCAGCTCAAGTAAATATTCTTATGCACTTTTACTCATTTCAAAAGTCTATGTTGTTGGATTTTATATGTTCTTTTTCTTGTTATAGACACTAAGATGAGAAAAGCTTTATCGTTTTCAAGTTGCGACGGCCATTAGGGGAGGGATTATTCTCGCGAAGCTTTCTGTATATCCGGTGAGAAGCCACACACTGTGCCTTGTAAGGTTACCAGAAAGTGTGGATCTGTCACAGTGAGGATGGTTCCGGCTCCAAGAGGTGCTGGTATTGTGGCTGCTAGGGTTCCTAAGAAGGTTCTTCAGTTCGCTGGTATTGATGATGTCTTCACTTCCTCCAGAGGATCCTCCAAACCCCTCGGAAACTTTGTTAAGGTCTGTAAAATTTCTTCCTTTTAGCAGATATTTGTGGTACATTTGTGAATTTTCGTTATGTAGTTAAAGACTCTGTAAATAGGAATGTAGTGCACATTTGATTGCTTGTTTTCTGTGAGAATGATGTGATGAATACTTCACATTTGTATTTTTATGACTCTTACTTAATTCTGTAGCTGTAAATGCCAATTGCAATTTGTACAAGATTTTAAGCATAGATCTTCTTGATTATATTTAAGTCGATTGCTTAATTACGATTGCTTAATTACGATTGATTGATCGATTGATCTTGGGTTTGATGTTTTAATGGTGTCCCGATACAGACTACGTTTGATTGCCTTCAGAAGACATATGGGTTCCTAACACCAGAGTTCTAGAAAGAGACGAAGTTCCAGAAATCGCCATACCATGAGTTCACCAATTTCTTGGCTAATAAGGAAGTTGCTGCACCCAAGCCTATCACCAAGGGTGAAGACCAAGCTTGAGATTATACAAAATCTACATAAAAGCTTGGTTTTGGTTGTTGCAAATATTATTACTCTTTCTCGTTTGTTTCTCGGTTGTCTGTCAAATTTTGATAATGGAGGTTTAATTTACAAGGATAATGGTTCTTTGTTATGTTTTTAGGATTTTTTGGTTAGGTGTTTGTTGCAAATTTCCTTGAAATGGGCAGTTTTCAATAGTTCAGTCCTAATTCTCGGTTCTGGTATACATTCAATTTAAGTAGAGCCTCCTAATTCAACAAAATATTGGAAGGTTTTTGTCCTAATTCTCGATTCTGGTATTCATTCAATGTTAAGCATCTAGGAAACATACTTCAAAATTGTAAAATCTTAAGCTATAAACTTGTTTTTATTTAACCATCATTCTATATTTATTAAGAGGTAGGTTGCACAGAAGTAGATCAATCTAAACATAAACTATATGATTATTTCAACTATGAGTTTTCTAAGTAGGTTACAGAGAGGTAGATCAATCCTGGTACATGATCAGCATGGTTTGATTAACGAAAGTCCTTAAGACAGTTTATATGTATACATAAAATTCATATTTACGGTTGTGTGTGTCTTTTGGTTTTTTTGGTAAGCATTTTAAAGTATAAATGAAAAAATATAGATTAATTTAAATAATATTTATTTATTATCATAGTTAGTAATTATAAAAAATTCATCATTATATTTAAAATAAAATATTATACTAATTATATATCTAAAAGTATCATAAAATTTAAAACCGCGTGTATAATTATACTAATTATATTTTAGATCATTTAATTTAGTTTGGTTCGGATCGGACCGGTTCAGTTGATCTGGATTGAACTCCAGTTACAATCGTGATAAAATCGGATTAATTTAACCATAACTAATCATCCATACCAACAATTCAAGAAGGTTAAGAAATTGAACCAAACCGAAATATTGGTTTGGGCATCGTTTCCCGGGGAATTCAACATGAATATAGTCGATAACCATGACCGGTTATAGCCAGTTTAATAACCTATAAATGTGGTAGTCTGGACTATGATGCTCGACCTTGTCTCGAGGTTAGCCTTCTAAGACCCTCCGGAGGCAGTTAACGTCGACGGTGAGTAGAAATGATGGTTCCGACGGCGGCTAGGATTTCAACCTCCGCCTCCCAACTTCTACGCCGCAAATCTCGGCAGCTGTGGTCGTTATCCTCCTTCTCTCCGCTCTCTTCCAGCTCTAATTACGCCCCTCACCCTCTCAGGTACCACTAGTTCTCCATCTAAAGCATCCGAGCCCGGCTTCGATTTTACGGTGTTCGGAGTTCGATTCATTCTCAATCTAATTTCATAACCATATCTGAATCATAGGATATTTAAGTCATTAAGGTCCGCTTTTATTTTAGGGTGTTCGGAGTTGGATTCATTTTCGATCCAATTTCACAGAGATTAACCTATAATGTAGTAGCTATGGTGATCTTTTGTGCAAGGTTCTGCATAAGGAGTCTTGTAAAGGATCTTCGTGGAGCGTTGGATACTCAAGATCCTCTTGGTTCCATTCGATTTCAGCTCGTGAGACCGATGATTGCGTTAGCAAACCCGAGAACAGTTTGATTCAAGATGGAGTATCTTCTACAAAACCGAAGAGGAAGAAGCTCAAAGGCAAGCGAGCGGTTGTGCGGTGGCTAAAGTTTTTCCGGTGGAAGAAGAAGAAAGAGGTCGAAAGAATGACTTCTGAAGAAAAGATACTCAACAAACTAAGAAAGGTTAAAAGAAACAATCTTGAGAAAACTGTTTTCAGATTCAGCAAATTGCGTATTTTTTTCCATCCCTTATGATCATTGTTTGTTTTCACAGGCTCGTAAGAAAGAGGAACGGCTTATGGAGACGATGAAGAAGCTAGAACCTTCAGAGTCATCGGAGACGACGCACGACCCGGAGATATTAACACCGGAGGAGCATTTCCATTACCTGAAAATGGGTCTCAAGTGCAAGAACTATGTTCCCGTAGGGAGAAGAGGGATATACCAAGGAGTGATTCTGAACATGCATCTTCACTGGAAGAAGCACCAGACGCTACAGGTTGTGATCAAAACGTTCACGCCGGAGGAAGTAGACGAGATCGCTGTCGAGTTAGCGAGGTTGACCGGAGGGATCGTGCTCGATGTCCACGAAGGGAACACGGTGATTATGTACAGAGGGAAGAACTATGTTCAGCCTCCTACTGAGATCATGTCGCCGAGGGTTACTCTCCCGAGGAAAAAGGCTTTGGACAAATCTAAATGCCGAGACGCGCTTCGCGCGGTTAGGAAGTATATCCCGAGGCTCGAACAAGAGCTTCAGTTGCTTCAGGCGCAGGCTGAGTCCAAGAGAGAATGTCCGAATGTAGTCGAGGTTGTTGATGATACTGAAGAGAGTTTAGATCAAAGGTCGGAAGAGTTAAAGAAGATTATAGAAAGAAGCCAGGATGAGCAAGAAGAAGAAGAAGAAGAAGATGTGGAATCAGAATTGGGGACGGATTCGGATCTTTTGGATATCTTTGAGACTGATTCGGAATCGGAGAACGAGAAGGCAGAGCGGCCGCTTTTTCTTGAGGAGTTTGAGAAATTTCCAGCAAGAAACAAGAACATAGAAGATGAAGAGGAGGAAGATGAAGATCCAGTGAAGGCTAAATCAGGAGATGAGTCTCCAGACTTTGATGAAGTGGATAAGATGTTTCTTCGGGCAGCTTCGCTTTTGAAGAAGAAAAGACGATGAAGAGAATCAATCACCAGGAGATTCTTGTTTTCATCATCTCTTTTTGCTCATCTCACGATTGGTACAAAGTGAAGATGGTGTTTAACAAAGTCGCAAGTATTTATCTTCTTTCTCCACTTTCTCAAACCGTTATTGTTGTCTGTTAGCAATTTGACAATGTGGTTATGAGAAGTATGCGTGCTTCGTTTTTAAAAGTTTTATTGTGAACGTAAAGCTCCAAAATAATGCCAAGATTTTTGTTCTTACCATTTCGAAATCAGACAAAAATTTGATGTGCGTTAAAAATCATGATCAAATTTAAAAGCTAGCTTGCGTAAAAGATAATTAATAAGATTGAACTGACAAGCTTGAAACTGAAACCAAAACCGTGTAAGTTAAATAGATGCCATAGGCTATTAATTCCAAAAAAAAAAAAGTGTTCATTATAATAGATACTAGGTAATAAACAACCGCAAGGTGAAATAATTATTATTTATTTAATATAATATAATTTTAAAATTATATAAAAAAATACAATTGATTTTATATGAGTTGTTTATAACATTATGCTGTAATATTGACAAATTTTTTTTTGTTTATGTTATGAATTTTAGGGTAATTTAATTCTAATGTAAAATAGTTTAAAAATTAAATATATATTCACAATTTTGATAGAAATAATAAGTCCCTCTTTATACTTTCTATAACCTATGATTAATAACATGATCTTAAAATTAAAAAAAAAAATAGAGTGAGTATATTTTGATTAAATTATTAAGTATCTAATAAAAAAATTTACTATTTCCTGTGTTTCATAATATTAATTTTTTTTAAAGGTTTTGTTTTGTTTTACAATATAGTTATTTTTTATACTTTTTACTACTTCCAATGAATACTATATGACCAATTATATTTTTCAATTTTTCATAATTAGTTGAATTATATCTAATTTATATACTAAATGATTACTAAAGTTGCTTTTTAATCTTTGTGCTTTAATACAAAATAACTATATTTTGAAATAGAGAGTATTAAAATTGTAAAAATAAAATTTGATTTTAAAATTTTATAATCGACTTTAATATTTCTAAGACGAATGTAAATGCATATTTAGATTAATCCACAAAAGTTATAATCATAAGAATATTAACTTTTGAGAAAAAAAGATTACTGTAAAATTTATTTTAAATATTAAATATACATAAGAATTATATAAAAATAAATTATCTTTTTATTATTTTTAATAAATTATCTAAAATTATATATAACTGAGTCAATGCTTATCCATTCTTAATTTTTTGATTTAATAAAAATATTTTTAATATCAAAAAGTTTAATAAAATTATTATATAATATCCTTACAAAAATATTTTAATTTTTTACCAAGTTATTTTGTTGTATAAATTAAAAATAATAATATTTATTAAATTAAGCTTTCTGTTTTTTTTATCATTTATGTATATTTTTATATTGATTTATGAATCATCTATCTATACATCTTTATTTTCAATTTTAGTCTTTTAAAACATACTTTTATTTATTAATCATTTAAGTAATTTATATTTGTTTTATGAAATTCGAATTATAACACAGAAATATATATATATATATATATTTTACTATATGAACGATGTGATGATTTATTTTTCTATAAAAATAAGAGATAAAATATAGTATTTAAAGAAATAATTAATATGATATATTTTTGGTATAAAATAGGAAAAGAAAATATCTTGATGAATCATCATCAATACAATTGATATAAACTAATGTATAACCAAATTAATGTGAGTGGCATAACATGTAATTAATCTAGTAACATAAGTCTATTTATATAACTTTGCTGAAAATAATTCTGGTGATGACACATCAGCAAAATGGCACCACAGTAATATTTTACAAAATTAAAGTTATTCTTTAAAAATGCTTCTCTTTTGATATATAGGGGATTGTATATGACAAAATCATCATCATCATATCTATACTAAATGAAAGGAGAAGTCTGGGGCTCCTAAAGCCATCCACATCAGCAAAAAACAAATCTCTATAATCATGCCACATCAGCAAACTTTTAATAAAAATAATTTTTAATATATTATTAACATGCTTAAAATTAAATAATATTTAATTAACAATAATAGTAGTATTTGAATATTAATTAAATTGTATGTACTATGGTAACAAAAAATATGACATATTATAACTTGACTTTAACAAAAATTAAAATATATTATATATATAATATTTTAAATTCTTACACCCTAAATTAATAATAATCACATCTTTAAACTGAAAATAGTTAAGATATAATATTATAAGGTATTAAGTTCGTTCACACAATAATTAGAAACATCAAATATGTATGATTATGTATATACTATTTCTATATTTTTGGCTAAATAATTTTAGGCATAAATTAAATTAATTAGAGTATAATATGAAATATGAATCATCATTATAGTCATGCATATGTAATATACTTGCATAACTTTATATTAAACATTAATATATTACACTTCCATATTTAAAAATAGTATATATAATTTTCTATAAAAAGAAATATCATAAACACTTCTCTAACCATGTACATCAATAAAAATGTTTTTTACACTCAACAATGTAAGGAAAACTAATATGTTATTTTTTGGTTAAGAAACTCTTTGAAAAATAATATAATATATATTATTAATTTAATTATACAATTTCACCAAATATATATATAGTGTAAGAAAAATATCTAAGTTAAATTACAAGCAAATGCAAATGAATCTTTTACACATTTTAAGTTTTGAGAAACTCGACATACTTTGTTTAATGGAATGAGTTAATACGAAGATGTATTTGTATATGTATTATTTGCTTTATTCATCTACACTACTATAGTTTACAGATACTTCAGAGACCAAATAAAAAATGCAGTTTATCAATATGATTGTGATTTTGTATAATATGTAAATGTTATTTTTATTTATATGATCAATAGTTCTTTTACAGATTTGTAAGAGTTTTGAACATTAATTGTTGGTTTATATTTAAGACTGCTCATAAAAATTTCATTACACAGACACAATTGAAATGAAAAGATATCTAAATTAATTGGAACTAAATATAGGTGTTTCAATTGTAGTCATATGTTTGATAAGTAATTTTTTAAAATAATAAAATTGTTTTAAATTAAATAAAGAGGAAACTTATAGTTGTTGAGTTCAATTGCATATCAAATTTAGTTAAGACAAAAATAATTTGAATAATACTTTGAAAGTTGGTGAGCAGTAATGAGTTTATATATAAATATTAAGTTTTAGATTAACGACTAATTTTCACCTATATCAAATTAGTTAATTTTTAAATTATAACATAATATATTTTTTGAATACGTTAAAATTTTTTAGATGTATGACCACATCAAAATGATATTGAAAATAAATATTATATTTAAAATACGAGGTCAAGATCGACCAAGGTGATCGAACGTGACTATGAACAAGGAAACTAAGCCTCGGAAGAATGAGAGCCAGATCGAGGTCACGACTCGATCGTCTGAGGATCGACCAGAAGATCGGAAAAAAGCACTCGATCCATCCAACTGAATCGACCCAACGATCGGGCAAAAGAAGACGTTCTATGCGGAAGATCGAGTTAGAGATCGACGACTGAGGTTGATCTCTAAACCTTAACCGGACAGCTCACGTTTTGGATTTTAGTGAGGGGACCATTTTCCTTTTGTTTAACCTATTTTGGGCGAGAATAAGAACCATACAATCTGTCTCCCTCATCTCTATCGATCTTTTATGCCAAAAACCGCCATTGTTAGTTTTTAAGCTTTTCATATTTGGTAAAACTTTAATCTTGCTTTTAATCTTAAATATTTCTCTTAATCTTTCTTGCTTAATAGTTTAATCATGTTTATCCTTTCTCCTTTGCATTTTCATCTGTTTAAATCATGTGTAGTGAGTAGTCCACCATGGGTTTAAGGTTGAGGTGATTAAGGGGGTTAATAGGGTTTAAGCTTTGGTTCTCTTGCACTTAACTTAATCTCTTCTTGGTTTTGGGAGTTTTAATGCGAAGAGATTTTTGAGAAAGATCTCTTTGATCTCAGGGATTTCCTTATCTTAGCAGACTTAAGAGATCCCTTAAACCCAAATCCAAGAGACTAGCTCATCCTTTCCCAAACGCCATGGATGCTTAGGGAGCTAGTTAGGCCATTTTTGAGATCCATGCTTCATGTTCTTCACCCTTTCATTCCACCACACGCCATGGGTTAGGAGGAAAGGTTGAGGAAAGGATTTATACCACACGCCATGGATAAATCTAGCTTTAGCTTCTCAAGGCCTAGAGATAGCACTAAAATGTGTAGATCTATGTTTTCAAAACCCAAATTTTGAATCTTGAACCTTCTTAAGCATGATCTAAAACCTTGAACCTGTATTTAGCCTTTGAAAACTTAAAGTCATAATTTCCTAGTTTTAAAGTTTATATCTTTTGTCTTAAAATTTGTCCTAGGTTGTTAGAACTTTCCTTTTTTGTCTGCTTTTAGTTTTCGAATTTTAAAAACCAGTAGATTTGCATTTTAAATTCTTATAAGTCATCTGATAGTTGTTTAACCCATCAGTAGAGATTTTAAAATAGTTTTCGTGGTCATTTAGTAGCTGCAAATAGTTTTTACCGATTTTCTCCTCAAATTATCCGGATCTCACTTAGATTTATAAAGCTCTTGCATTCGTAGTATCTTTCATCAACCTGATTTGGATTGGCACCTAAAACACTATACTACAACAGCAAAAACAATGCTTTAGCTTGATAGCCTGCCAAAAATAATAGTTATCAAATGGCGCCGTTGCCAACTTGGGTTTAGCTTGAAAGTATTAGGATTTGGAGCTTAGTAGAGACTAAGCCTTTATTTTTACTTTGGTTACTAATCTATCTACCTTCCTACTTGTATTCTCAGGTACCTGAATCTGAGGTCTAGAGGTCATAACAACCTATTACAACCTCTAGACAACATTCATCAACTTGGAAGTGCAAGATCAAGAAGGGCAAGAGAACAAGCATAACACTTTGTGGAAATAATGCAACCGTGTATTTTTGATTTTAATGTTATGGCTGAGCAAGACCAAGCTGAGGGTCTACCTCACCATGCTGCTGTTGGTAGGGGTAATGGAAACCCCAACCACGCCCCAAGGCCACCAAGGATCATAGGTGCGGGTAATGCACTGAACACTCATCACAATCGTTTTGGCATCACTCCACCACCGGTGCAAAACAACAA